ACGACTAGGTTGAACGCCTCGTATGTATAAGAAGCCTTAGCTTAAAAAATTTCAAGTATCTGTATGTACCGGACAGTTTTTTCAGCCGTTTTTTTGTTTTTCTGTTTTTGGGCACTTGCGCGAAGCATATCTCCTCTCATCGGAGCTCCAGTCAGACATTGTCTTCGAAAACGATGCTCTACTCCTTACATTCTCTAAATCGAATATACTATAGAGACGTACGGTTTATGTGTTTCAATGCATGAATTTTACTTTGTTAGGATATGGGTAAAATGAAGGACGCGTCCAGTTAACTAAACACGGGGAATAAAATAAAAAGTAAACAGAAAATGCGGCCACATTTGGGTAGACAACTTGTAAGGAATCTCCAGAAAAAATGCTAGACGTTTAATTTATGCATTTAGAAGAACGCGTATGTTTATCTCAACTTTAGTTCAAGAGATTCAGCTATACCGTTAACATATATGTAGATTTGCAAACTTTTGTCTTACTCTCTGATGGGTGCCTTGAGATCAAGACTATAAAATTGATATTACTAGCCCGTTGAGCTGAATTCACGTAGACGACGTATTAAATACATTTGTTCATTAAACCACAATTACTAAAACAAATGTACAATAAATATACAAAGCATATTCGCACATTGAAATGAAAGGACGCATGCTTTTTGGCCTGAGAAGTAGTAGCGGCAGTAGCAACAGATGCAAAAATAACATCAGGTAGCAGTCCTCAAATGGATGATATGCACATATATGGCACACGCACCCTAATCTGAGTCTGCCTAAAAGATGAACAAAGAAAACTTGCTTTATTGTCGATGATCTGTCTTCGCTGTGTTCGTGTTCCACGACCCGAATCCGACCTCGCGTTGATGTTTACTGCATCGCAAGGTTTCATGTTCCCTCTCTCAACTGTCAATAAGAGGAAAAATCAAGAAAAACAGCCCAGTTTGCTTCAATTACGCAAGTAGCAGACGAAAATTGTGACAGAACGCATTATTATTTTACCTGTTTATACTATCGAAAGATACATATGTGTGTATATGTTTGAGGCTATGAAGATCACCCTCGGCTAATTATGACCTTTGATAATTACGAATGATAGTACGAATACGAAAGAGAGAGAGAGAGAGAGAGAGAGAGAGAGAGAAGGTGAAAAAGAAAAAGAATGTGCGAATGCTCAATAATCGAACAAACGAGACGGTACACGAGTGACAAAACTGAGCGGTCGATAAGCAGGCTTCCCTAAGGGAGCGAATCGGGCAAGCAGAGATAGGTGAGACCGTCCGTGAAACTGTCAAGCATAAATAGCCAGCTGTAAGCCACTGGCAGCGTTGGCAACCACAGCTGAAATATCTACCCAGTAACCATTGCTGTTTTTCGAGTGCCGGTAAATGTGTGGGTGCGTAGGAGCGCTGTAGTCGATAACTAAACTTGTTACCCTGTCACCGGCACAGGTGATGAACAAACGTTCATTACGTGTGCCGGTGACAGGGTAACAAGTTTAGTTATTATTTACAGATAAAAGTTATATATATATAACTTTATTATATATATATATATATATAAAGATAAAAGTTATATAACTTTTATCTGTAAATAATTTGTTTGAGTGTACCGAAATTCTATTTTCGCATCTAATAAATACATTGGAGTTCGCTACAAGCAATTGCCTTGGTTGATTATCACGAAGAGGTGACATGGCGCGTCAGAGTCGGGAAAAAAGATAGATGTAGATGTTAAAAAATGATGGCTGCCCCAAACCAGTCTCTCTGACATGATCATATAGTTTGTAGACATACAATTTGAGCTTTCTTCTATTTAAATCAATTTTATTTTGAAATAAAGCGTTTCGTGGCGGCCGAACTTACCAGATTTTAGGCAGGTTCTGAACGTATGAAGCAGACCTGAGAAAAAATGAACTAGGGACAAATGCTATCTCATGTGAACCTAAAATACCTTGTCTGTCTGAAGAAATCTAATAGTGATAGAAGAATACCTGGTTACTAAACAGAAAACCCCACTAAGAAGCCCTGACTGAAGCCTGCCACCTGTGGACCGGTTTGGCGAGGTAACTGAGCCTATAAAAACATTTCTTCAGTGGACGATACGCCGCTCAAAACAATAAAACAAATACCAACACAACAATATGGTTGGCTCCGACGTGTTGTCTTTATTTACTATTTAGTTTTAAGATACTTGAAACAGGTTTTACAGTCTACGTGACGATTTAGTGTAAAATTAATTGATTACGAAACATAAAGCCATATGTTAAATGACTTTGGTTGAAAACCGGCAAAAGGCACAGCTCGTTTCCTATTGTACCGATGTTTAATCCCAACAGAATCAGACATAGAATTTTGAAACGTTTTACTTTCTTGGACACGAGCCACACTTTTATGTGAAGCACGCACAGGCGCTTGCCTGATCTCTAAAACGTAGGAACAAAACAAATCGCCTTGGAGCGACTTAGCTCCCAACAATACAATAAGAATATATACCGCCGCTTTCATTTGGCCCTGGGGCTTCTATAATAGCCAAACTGTTTGATGGACTCTGACACAGTTTTTGATGACTGAAATTAACGTACGAAGAAAGCGTACAGCGAAATCAGACCTGCTTCCACGTTTAGGTATCTACGACTCACGTAACGACCTCCCCCGCACATGTCGAATCGAACAAAGCTAGAACAACATATCGCGCTGTGATGCTACACAGCGGCACAGGTATGATTGTATTTATCTTATCGCTTGCTATCGCTAGCGAATCGTAGCAGACAGCAGAGCATAAGTCTAAGAGACGCTGATAAAAGCCCAACCTGCACACGGGATGCCTGTAATAAGCGTAGTGAAATCGGACGCATTACGCCGTAGACTTACAATGCAAGTACAGACAACACGATAACCGCAGCGGACGTCGGGCCCAAAGCTATGTTTGACCTTGTAGAGCTCTCCATCGTTTTAAACAGATCGCAGCCGTATCCTACTTGCTAGTCGATTATCAGTCATTGGCCGTCCTAGCGGCAAACCCGCCGCGGCTGTATCTTCATTGCAAGCCCCGCAGTGGGTTTGCCGTAGCATATCTGCTAGATTTAGCTAACTGAACTGAAAATCCGAAATGAAATCCCTAGCAAACACAGCGTGCGCCGTGCACACACAGTGAGTCAGCTTTCGCAATATCCGAAGTAACCTGTCTCCCACGGTCCACGAATGATGTTCATATGTTTTTCAGAACGCGGCCAAATCTGAAGATGATCCGAATCGCTCATTCTAAACTCGTCCTGCTTTTCTAGCTCGTTTTTGTTCGAAATGTCAACGTCGTCATTATCGCTAATATTGATTGTTGTGGGCACTGTTATAGGAAATACGCTGGATGCATGCAACTATTGCCGAAGCGAAAACAAACACAAGTTCTCGTTCCTAAGTTTTCCAGGCTTGACTATGCAAAGAAGCTATCTACAGTGTCAAATAGAATGCAAAACAAGCTAAATAAACTGCTAAAGTAAGATTGTTTTGCGGCAAGAGATTGAGTCGATGTTGTTCAAACACTAGCCAGTACAGGCATAGGGTCGGTAAATATTGTTATTGTACATTCTATTTATAATAGAAGAATATAAAAATGGAAAAAAGCACACCGTATGAAATTGGCTAGGATATAGTTTATTCAAGCCACCTCAACAAGAGTGTTTTCCAGCGTCCGAGGTGATCGGCAGGCTCAGAAGTGTCGTATTAAGAAAAGGGTCTAACGTACTTGCTAAAAGCAGTGCGCCATTCTGCACGAGAACGTGCTTCTGTGCGAGACGATGTTCAGTTTTCCGCAGTGAGGGTATATTATACAAAATCTGCGATTAAATGAAGCCGTATTTTATTAACGCTTTGTTTCTTGCAACGAATCTTAATCTGCTCATATCAAAAGTTTTTCAAGCTTTTTCAATCGTAGAGAATCGTCGAAAAAAAATTCTGCCATTTTCATTATGTCCCTGTTAGGGCGCCTTTGACACAGTTGAACTTATTGCTTGCCCACGAGTTATTATAATAGATGTCCTGATTATTGTTGTTAACGAAGTGCTTATTAAACGTTTTTTTCATTCAGCATTTGAACTGAGGCACTAAATTATTGGCATGTGTACAAACTAGCCTAAGTTGAAAAATTGCTCACGTCCTAGATGATCGTAACGTAGAACTTAACTCAATGCAGTCTTCAGCAGCTTTTTTCAGCGGCTTCTTCCAAGCATATATTAGGTGAAACGTATTCGAAGTAAGCGGGCGTCAACATATTTGCGTCGAATGTCCCAGTCCCCTATGAAACGCTAATTACTCACTATGATATTAACTCAACACGACATTGTTGTCATCAGAACAAGAGTGATCTAGCTTTTGAATCGAGCGACTATGGTTAATTTTTCCTAGGCTCTGCTAACGACTGTCAAGTTGAACTTGTATCACGTCCAATATCCAATCAACGAACGAACTTTTTACCTATATACATATATATATCTGTTATAGTGTTCTTATATATAGGTCGAGCGCTTATTGCTTATTCGAGGTGATCCTTGAATTCGACTGTTGTTACATCGCATGACGATAAACGATATAATATATTACTTTGAATGTTTATTCAGTCGTGTCCTCACGGTCAGTACGTTAAATAAACCGGTCAAAGTTGCAGTCAGCGACAACCACGCAAATATGGAGACGGCACGCAACAATATTTTTACTGTAAAAGACTCGCACTTAATTTATTACAAAACGCATATTATTATAAAACGATAGCATACATGGCAAACTGTGAAAAATCAATAGTCGAAATATATTGTAAAACTAGCCTGGGCATCAATTAGTCCTGACTAAGTGATAAAAATACCAACTAAGGTCCTTACAGATTGGCTATATATATATATATATATATATATATATTTAGTACGGGAAAAAACTTGTTGTACGCTTGATAGTGTACTCCCGTATACGCGGTATGCTAAAATGTTGAAAAGTTTTTTTTTTTATAGGAAACTATATCGGAACGTTTTGAGCTTACTCAAAAATGACGCGTTGAAGTTATTCCGTTCTTGACCTCAATAGCAACGAATGGCAAGAGATACTTAGCTCGTGCAACTCGAACGATGAATGCTAAAAAAGCAAGAAGCTTGCCCAGGCTGAATATTCGAAGCGATTTTCCAAATCCATAGAGTTGGATTAACAGGAAAACGCTAGATTCCAAATGATCATATTGATAGAATTTTATGCACCATGTGAATTTTGATGAAAAGCAATTAAACAAGACTGCGTAATACTCAATGAAAAAGATTATATACACCAGGGGAAACCTGTGTACAGAAAACGCGTGTCATAAAAAACATCTTCGAAAAACATTAAAACTGTGATAAAGTGGCGTTTGATGTTTGCCATTAGCCTCTTGATTACGCATCGAAATCGAATGATGTGGAAACAAGATGGACGTGTAAAGACGAGTTAAAGCGGACGTCAATGTAAATACGTTCGCAACAAATGTACGATTTTATATTTCGATTGAGCAACGTAAACAATGGTCAAGTTGGCCACCAAAAATCGACCATGAGCCCTGTCATAGCGGTATAGATAAGATCATAACACGGTAAGGGAAAAGCGAATATTTCTTCTACTATAGCAGAGTATCGTTGCACTTTGAAATCCTCTTTGTCCGCCAGCATTGATGGGACCTAGTTTATATTAGTAACAACGTAATCGAACGGATGACATTTGTAACCTTCGTGATGTTTTGTTTTTGTTTACCAAAGTCGGCCCGAAATGGCTCAAGACCTTTATCGTTAGAGTCTCTTTAAACACGACCACAGAAAACGTCAAATTCGTGCGTACAAAGGCCTCAAAGTTACGTATATGTGCTCTTGCTCTGTCCTACTCAACATTAGCGAATCTAATAATTGCTCCTAATTAATCACTAACACTTATAATTTAATAGCTATTCTGGCTTTTTCTTGCTTACCGCGAGACCTGCATATAAAAGTCCTATTAGATCTGCTGATGAGACGATCAAGGCGCTTACCAGCCTAACAAGGTGTCTTGTCGACATACTGCTCACACCTCTACATCGATACACATTAAAGGGCGCCATCTCGCTTAGCAGAACGTTCAGACGGCTCCATAGACAGAGCGGTGGCCAGATATACAGGCACTGTTGTCGACGCCGAAGGCCTCCACCGCTCACGGCGATCGTAACTCATCGCAGCGCCGCCCTGGCGGCTATTGGGCAAAGCTCGCGCGGAGAAAAGGCCACCGCAACAGAGCGGCGCCGACCACCGTTGAGGGAGGATCGCGCTCCGTGTTTCGACCATCTTTTCCCCCCTATAAACACCACAATTTGCACAAACACATACACATCCTATCACCATATATCAACTAATACATATATGCTCATAATAATTAGCACGTCAATCATAATCATCCCCTTTATTCCATCGAATAATCCTGCACTTGTCTTTTCTACACTTTGATTTTTATTTTAAAAAGTACATTACACAAACATACGTATATACAATAATACTGCAATATTCAAATTATATACTCAAGATATATATATATATATATACACGAATATTTACAACAAGAGTAATATCAACATCATTGTTTGCTATTGTACGGCACTTATAATGTGTTCGTGTCTCGGGCTGTCGTACACGTAATGCGATCGTGGTGGAGACCACGCGTTTCTCTATTTGCGATCATTAAGTCGGTGCAGTGCAATTAAGTTTAGCGTGAAAAACAATCGGCTGGTAGTGAGAAGCAAGGGACCAACAACCCAGTGTGTCTGTGCCTAGCTGGATATTCTGTGCTACGTAAATACTTGAATACGTGGAGTGACCTCGTGTGCTTAATAAGCATGTTCATGTATGCGTGAATAAATGGCTAGAGAGTGAGATCATGCTACACTGTGTGAACCGGTTATGCATTTTCTGGATAATATAACGCGATAGCTGTGAAACAACAACGACAACAGCATTGCTAACCACAGCATCGGTGAGTCGAATCAGACACAGCATGAAACAGACAAAACTCAGCATGAATATATCATCAGCAGGAACGATCGAACTTTCTATCGTTTACGGACACCGGATAGCATTGGATAGAAGCATTGAAAATGTCAATTTCCCAGTTAATGTGTAGAAGTATGCGTTTTCTTGGACTTCTGAGTTTTCGGCTCAATTCCGGGCCCATGATCGAGATTCGGAAAAAACAAGGCGCGGGGGCGGGGGAGAGTGGGGTGGAAGAGATAGTTTCGACATCGATCCTCTCCTCATGCCTAATACTATAGCACGTTTGAAACTACTGCTGAAAGTGATATAGACAATGATGTTACGGGTACAGACTTTGTCATTATACATTTGCCTATGCATTGTTGCCTATCTATTGGCAGAGGTCTCGGTTAAAAGCTTGCACCCACTTTGGCCGGATTACGTTTATACTATTTTCGAAAAATAGGAAATATAGAATGTTTTACATTGAATTATGATTCCATATAACAGTCGCATTTGCTCCTATAACCTGGTGCTAAGTAAATCGAAATGAGAACTTAAGCTATATCGCTTCCTTGTGCCGAGTTCTAATAGCGAAAACTTTCACGAACAGTATAGCCAACACGTGAAAGTACGTGATGGCTTCATCCACGTGATCTGCTGGGAAGTGGTTACATTTCTGCTGACGCGCCTCCGAACAGATGAGAAAAAAATCCGATTGTTTAAAAATGCGGCTTTATCTGAATTTTATCTCATGGCAATCCGTCGAGCTAGTCTTAATTATTGAGCTGAGACTAAAATTTGTTTCCATGATTTCGTGTGACGGCGAGCCTGGCATTGTCTGGGTTATTACAACCCTTGCAAATATATAGGTGCAATACCGAGAGACGCTAAACAAATGATTTTTAAATCTCTTCTTAACAATGACGCCAAGGATCGCCCATTAGACAGCGCCAAAAAACTGACCTAGACGGTTTTATTCAACTATGTAGGAAATCTTAGTTTCCGTAAAGCTGTGCAAGCCAAAGATTCATCCAAAAATTGGTCTTCTGTCTAGATGGCTTCTCTAGATGTAAAGATGGCCTGATAGTCGTCGACTTGCCATTCAAAAACACGGCTGTGTATATTCATTTGCCCGATAGCAGTTTTCAAATTGGCCTTGGCCTACGGTCTTGGGCCTTTAGTAGATTGGACTGAGCCATTGTTATAGGTAACGAGTCCACTGGAAGGAGGATGTCGGCTCGTTCTTTTTGTCCAGGATCCATCATACAGTAAAGCGGCTCGCTGCCAGGTCAAGAAAATGGTGCCAAGTAAGTCTGTGCGCTTGTTGGTGACAGCTCATGAGTACAGATGTTATGACGTGAAACTCGTTGATATTCTGCGGTGGATGGGTGCCGGTTTCTTTGGAAAACATTAGATAGAAGTCTAAAGCGTTACGGGACGAGCATAAACTAGCATTATCGTCCGCTGTGGAAATGAGATTCCCGCTGATTCACTCACTCACTACTGTCGGCCATAGTGGTTCGCTGATGGTGATAAGTTGACCAGCAGCACAACGATCACCGGCTCTCTTTGCTATATTTTGTATAGGACGCTTGTTGAAGATTATTCGAGATTCTGGCGATATTTTGTTAACGATCTCCGTTCCAAAACTCGGACATCTTGCGTTCGAACGAAGAAGAAGTAGTAGTGCTTTGCGGTTAATCTGTAGAACCGGCTTAGACATTGTGGATTTCATCGAGAAACATCCTCGCGAGTTAGGCAGAAACTAGATACTTAGGGAATTTTTCAATACTCGTAAAACTATTGAGTCTTTTTGTCTGACAAGATTTTTTTCACGAGCCGAATTTAATGAGCCCGCTTTAGAATGAATTCTTCACTGCCAAAGACAGCTGTGGTGCGCTATTAGAATTTCGACTGTAGTGGATTTTTCATGATGAGAAAAATCATTACCGTTTGCAAAAGAAAAAAAAATAAAAAATGCTACTAATTTGACTATTAGGTTTTTGCTTTGAAACACAGATGGTAATGACGAAGGTGGTAATGTGTACACGATTTTTGTCTAGGGTCATTAAAGCTAAGAGAATGGAATCGGCGTACGGCGTACACTATCTACAAAGAATATACCCTTGCTCCCTTTCGGCTTAGTACGGGACATGACTATTTTCTACATAGAAATATATATTATATCTTGACAGTTTTACTGTTCGTACAAAGGTGGCGTGCTTATTCTGGGGTCTTAGACCTAAAACTGGTCGTCTTATTTTTTGTGATTGACATCGCTGTTATAAATGGACGTGTCCGTTCCAGGAGAGTCTATAGTGCTACGATTTTCACTGTTATTATATTACCTAAAATTAACCTTCTAATAAAGTGAATGATCGAGTCGCTGGCACCACGTTGTCGACTACGCGCCTCCCGACTAACCTGAACATTAGTCATTCATTCATTCTCGTTTGACCGAATTAACAGAATAAGGGCCCTGTCACAGATCTAAAGGTCCCAAAAAACTTATAGATTCAAAAAGGGCGAAGTGCCTAAAAGGTGTAAATTGGAGCAAAAAGCTGCGAAAACATTAGAGCTTATCTGGACAATCCAATTAGCATTTAATATTATTTTCTCTAAAACGGGCGGTATTATCTATATAAAAGTTTAGCTATATCAAAAATGGCTTCTGAAGCCATTTTGATAATTTTTTTGCTCTTCAAACAATTTAGGATGTTTCAGAAATCGCCTAAAAACTCGCAATCGAACACATAGCTATTTTGGTGAAAATAAAAGCTCGATAAAGGTTGGACAGTTTGTTTAAACTGGACAATACCCATCACATTTTTTCATCTTGTTGAAGGTTTATCCAGCCCGAAGAGTTTAGGTAATCTCTATTAAAATTGCACAACGACGCACTGTTCTCTTCCATGATGTGTGTGCTTTCTTGTTTTGAAAGAAATGAACTTTCGTCTGGTTTTACAACTAGCGGATGAACGCATGTCTGGAACTATAAGCAGCCCGCGAAAGTTTGTCGCAATTCAAAACTACCCTGTGTATACATTTTTTTTCCATGTATTTTGAACTGCATACTGTTCTATCTATTGTCGGAAGATATGGAAATCGTAAAACTAATAAAACTTTCCCAGGCCAAAAGTTGGATATTTAATATACTTTCAATGTCTCGTACGCAAACCAAAATCTATATATGTAAAATACAAATTCCAAACGACTGAAGGCCTATGATATATGCAATATCTACATAAATGTCTTTAAATAAATAGAAACGTATATAACGCTTTCCGGGGGAGGGCGGGCAAAGAAACGGGCGGCAAACAATTAAAACAACCTTCCAACGTTTTGATGAGCGGCAAACGCTTTTCTGAGGATGATCTATCTGCTCCATAACGAATTAAAGTTGCAATAAGGATATGAGGATATCATAGTTGTTCCGACTCATGTAGCCCCATCGTAGAATCATAAGCTTAAATGTTATAAATGCGTACAGAGTTTTGCTAAAACAGTATAATTATTCTTCATAACCTATATATTCCTTTTTTTCATTAATCTATCTATTTGTTATTTTTGGTTTCAGTTTATTTTTTTTTGTTTGTGACACTCTTTATTTGTTTCGCACTGCCGTATTGCGTTATCCTTTTTCACGTCATTTGCAGAACACGACGCTATCGAGCTCTCTACCAAAGCCAAGCCACCGACCGAACTAATAATGCACCCACGTACCTGTGAGTCGATGCGTGTCTTGTCGAAAAAAAAGTGCGAAAGTATCCAAATCTGATGTCTGCATCGACAATTTTGCTTGTGATTCATCCCTGAGTCGTTGACATTTCAACACTTCGCTTAACTCCACCATTCCCGATACTATGGCCTTATTCCCGCTCCACGAAGACGAGAAATTTCTGAGCGCGCCGACACTTTCCTATGAAAATAGAAATTTTCACTCGCTTTCTCAATTTAAATGAATTCGATTTTTTAATAAACCGAGTAGCAGCAGGTAAAGGAAGTGCTAGTTAATTTTGCTTTTTTTTTTTTTATGCACACGTTATGTAGAATGAGGTTCAGTAGTGGTTTTGGGAGTGCGTAACAAAGGAGCTAAACATTCTCACGCTAGTTGTCGATGAATCGGAAGATGCTAACATAAATATATGCACGTTGGGAACTTACGGCTCCTTAAGTGACGCCTTAAGCATTTAAATCTATTTACCGTGTTTGATCGTTGTTATTACTGTTGGAACGTACCATCAACTCGATACTGGAGTAAGCAGTAGGTCATTTACGAAAAAGGTCCAGATTACCACGAGAACGAGTTGACATACAACTAGATATTGGCGAAGATTTTTGATCATTAAAAATATCTGTTGAAGAGGAAGTTTTAATTATTTCTCTGATTATCATATCGTCCTGGAGTACTTGCCATTGATGTGATCAGTTCGTTCACAAGGGTCTAAAATGCGCAACGCGGCATAGATCGCTATAGATTTCACACTCTCTCAAGAGATCCTTTTGTTGCCATAAAGCTGCGCGTATATAAGATCGGTAAAATAAACGTTACTCGTAGCGCGCATAACTTTATAGGTGTACGCTAACGCTTTATGAACCTATTGTTCGGAACCAATGACGACATAGAACAATAGTTGTATAATTGTACCATTCACGTTTACGCTGATACGAAAAGGAAGCAGGAGGATTAGATAACGCTGTGTTATGCGATGTTTTAATCCTCAACCAGCTATCCGTAGTCTCTAGAAAAATATGACGAAACTTAATATAATAACAACCCAAGTCTAAAAAAAAAGTCTATCAGTTACTACTGTTTATCTTGTAGATAGTAATTCTATTTTTTCATGCGTCTAATATTGTGTCCACAGAGTTAACTTAATAATAATAATATTAAGGCTTTGTTTGAATTCAGAAGCGGCTCGAACGTAACGATACAGTTGATAGCCCTGTCCGGCTTTTGCATATCCCTTCACTCAACTAGATTATTCCGTGTTTAATGAA